TATTGCTTCTTTTTTAATGCTTCTCTTTTCAAATCCTACCTTGTAAGGTTTCGAGCTTTCGAGTATTTCTCATCTTCTAAGGAAGAGTTGAATTTAGGTTCTCATTTTTCATTCTTGTAGAAGGATAGAAATACTCGGAAGCTCGGTAAAGATAAAAATCTTACAAAAAAATCTTCGATTCACGGTTTTATACCTTTGATAATATAATGCTTATGGTGTTTATTAGATTTAAAAAAAGGCATATACAGTGGTACCTCGACATACGAGTTTAATTCGTTCCGCAATCTTGCTCGTATCTTGAATTACTCGTATCTCGAAGCAAATTTCCCCATACAAAACAATTGAACTACCATTAATCCGTTCCAACCTCCAAAATGTCACCCCAGTTATTTTTGTTACGTGGTTTTAAATAATAAAAACGTATTTATAAATATCAAATATTTATTGCACAAAAACAAGAAAGAGAATGTAAAGAAATAAATTAGATATCCTCACTGGTCTTTGCCTTTTTCGCTACATTTTTCTCGCTTTCACCTGTAGGCCGTTCAGAAAAAAACATGTCCAAGGAGGTTTGTTTCTTCCTCCCTCTCAGAATGTTCATATCTGAACTTGCTGCCTCACCATGTCTGACAACGGAGTGAATACCGCTCCTCTTTTTAAAATTCTCAAACCAGCCTCGGCTGGCTCTAAATGACTCTTCCGATGCCTCGTCGATGGAAGTCTGCGGGGTTTGCCCCAGAAAATCTCCGTAGATCGCTCTTGCCTTCTCACAAATGATGGTCTGCGTCAAGGTATCTCCTTGGAGCTGCTTTTCTGTCACCCACACCATCAGCAGTTTCTCCATATTTTCATGAAGGGAGGTTCGCAGCTTGGAAATTATCGTAAGGCCCTTAGCCGGCGTTACACTCTTTATCGACTCCTTCCGTTTAAGCACAGAACATATCATGGACGTACTACGGCCATACTGCCTCGACAAGTCAACAACTCGAACACCTTGCTAATGTTTTTCTATAATTTCACGTTTTAATTCAATACTCATTATCTTTTTCTTAGCACTTGACTTTTTACAAAATTTCTTCCGATCCATGGTTATAAAAATAAATGAACTAAAACTGTAAATGTGTAAACGCAACACAAAACGCGAACACACAACACAACTTATCACAGCGGAAGCACGCTGCTAACTGATCGTAATGGCGCGACTGCGTGTTACTACCGAACCGAACTCGTATCTCGAATTTCGCTTGTAACTAAAAGCAAAAAAATCACTTGCTCGTCGGCTCGTATCTCGAAAAACTCGTATGTTGGGGCGCTCGTATGTCGAGGTACCACTGTATTGGATTGAATAAAATATGTATTTGCCAATATTTCGGTTGACTGAGCGCCAAACCTTTATCAAGGCATCACATTTCATATTTATATATATATTAAAAACCAAGTCTAAAGTAAGCTAATATTCTCAATCACTATTTCCCAAACAACACCTGAAACAACCCTAGGACAAGACTTCCCCCAATATACACCAATACCTCGCTTTGCGTCGTTTCGTTTTGCGTTTTTTTCGAAGTTGCGTCGCTGCTTAATTTTTACTGATTTTCACTGTGCGTCGTTAGATTTTCGAAGTGTCGTTGTTTTGGATTCGAGTCTTTAATTTTTTTTTTTTTGATTTTTTTTCTCTTAAAATATGGCAACACCTTTGTTTTTGATTGCGCCATGCCATCAAAATTTTATTTTCACTTTGCGTCGTTTCAATTTGCGTCATGTTTTTTTGGAACGTAACCCCGACGCAAAACGAGGTATGGGTGTACATTCATGGACAAAACTTAAGGTAGAGCGCCATCTAGTGGAAAAAAAAACTAAACGTTTATTTAACTTGTTCCTTGATATTTGGCTAACCTAAATTTTTGATGAACCAAGAAAAGTCAACCACGTACGTGTTTCAGGCTGTTGGCCCTCTATTTTTATTATTTTTCCCACATATATATTAACATACATACGTGATTAAAGTTAATTGATTGGTGAACACGATTCAATGAACTATAATTTGAATAATATAATGAATATTTTCTACTGATTGTGTAAAACTATACATTGTCAGAGAGCGCCATCTATAGGTTCGTATTTAAACTAAACGTTTATTATTATTTTTTTCAATTTTCACAAACATACAAAAATTGAACAATTTATTTCTTGAATAAATAAGAAAATTAACAAAATACGCCTTTCGGGCTGTTGATCCATTGATCATAGTGCAGACTGTAAGTATAATAATAATATCATTTTATTCGCGATCGAACGTTGTACTGTACGTATTACATCCCAAACACGATGTCAGCCATCTCTGTCTTGAGCTCGATGTAACATCTCGGTGATCGTTAAGTCAGTGAGTTTCTTCAATTGGTTCACGAGGCGTGTCGGCGGGCGTCCAGGTATGTGTCGCCCAGATGTCTCATATGGTCATTCTGGAAACTTTGGTAACTGCCGTGCGGACGCCCTTGCGAGATCTGTCTCTGCGAACACCGCCTCTCCCGCTCAATTCAAACTAGCCTCACGCCGCACCCTTTTTAACCATCTTAGCAAATCCTTCCGGGACACATGGAATTCATCACCGCCAACCCTACAATCTACAAGAACCTGGGTATATCTCCTTGTTCTTTATCTTCATCCCACAAACACATCATACCTGATTGTGCAATAACCACAGGTCTCGTTACTGGACACACATGGATAGGGTCCTTTGAGAGAACCAAACATATACGTGCCCCAACATGCAACCACTGTCTCTCCTCCCCACAAACAATTTCACATATCTACTTCGAGTGTCCCAATCTTGACCTTGAACGATCACAACTGTATACAGCCTGCCTCAGGACCATTGGGTACATACCTTTAACCTTGAAGGACCTTTTTTGGAAGGACAAACTTTGGAAATTAGTTCTAAGATTTGCACATGTCAGCGGTAGATTTTTCCCTTCTAATATAACAGCTTCGACCTCAACCTAACTTAGATCATTTTGCTTTGTCCACTGCAACCGCACATGTTCCTCCATCAAATCACTTTCTCCCTTTTAACATAATAATGCCTTCTCTAACTGTATTAAGTCTCCTTTGCTATCCTCTACATTTTCAGCCCTTGGAAAATAAAAATAAAAAATAAAATAAGGGAAAAATAAATAAAATATAAATAAATAAAAAATCCAGAAATAAAATACATTGAAAAAAAAACTCTAAAGGCAATATGGTCATAATTTTAACCATAATTATATTAAAAAAACAATGATAAATAATTTCTTGAAAATGAAGATACTTCGGCCAGTAAATCTTCATTTTTCAAGAAATATGAAAGCCGGCCAGGCAGCCTCAATATTTACGATAATGATAAATAAATAAATAAAAATTAATAAGTAAATAAATAAAATACTTAAATCCCCACATCATTCCCCTGGCTGCTCATGAACTTGTACTGTATTATAACACTAATGTACCAATTTATACTTTCATAACCTTTCCTTAACTATCTGCTCACTACATTATCACTGTACATATCCGGGACTCACCTCTTGACTTGCTCTCCTTACCAGATCCACCACTGAACCTTCTTCAGATGAGCCCGGAAAAGTACTCAGATGGACTTGAGCAGGCGATGTAAGTGTAACCTGTCGACATTTTGGGGCTGATGTTGTTGTTGATGTCTCATATGATCTACTAAAAGATGATCCTTAAAAAATATTTTACATTTGTTAATAATATGATGATTTTGGTAAAATTATAACTCCGCCTTTTCCGGTCTCAAGCCCGGATGAAAAAGGAGGAGGGGGAGCAGTAACAAGCTCACTAAAAAACCTGGGCTCAGCTGGCCCGGCTGATAGTACCCTGTAAGGGCTCCTAATCCAGGAATACAGGATGAGCAGCGTTTGTACTTCATGTTAGAAGCGGCTGCACATGGCGTCTGTTTCTCATGTCAGAGGCGGACATTTTTTTTGGAACTAAGTCGGCCTGCCACTGAGTAGTGCTCCCAGTCTTAATGACAAAGGCAGACGCATTCTACTTCACTGTATTCATGATGATTGTCATGTCTCAAGCTCTACCAACTTGATTCCTTAATATGATTGAGTGGAGATAAGAAAGAAGAAGAGGTAAAATTATAAATAAAAGATAAAAAATTCGCTGAAGGAAGAGTTTTCTATATAAAAACAAGCTTTATGCCGTAACAACTCTTCGACAGGTACAACTACGCTACTAAAACATTTAGGTAAAAAAACACCAGTAGGTTTTATTATTGTAATTATATTTGTCAAAGGGCTGTTACAACCGAAAGCTTGTATTATCGTCATTAAAAAAAAGAGACTTTCCCACAGCAAATTTTATTTTATAATAAGGCCACACAATTCAATATATAAAACTCAACTTGCCACTACTGTAATATACCGTCCAAGTCAGAAATCCTCGAATCCCACATATCTAAACATAAGAACAGTATTATGATGAATCAGCGCGCCATCTGTTATCAAAATTCGAAACTATTATAGACGCGTATGATTCTTTTTTAAAAATAAACAATTTCTACTGTCCTTATTGCAATGGAAAATTAATTTTAATTTTTTTTTCTCCATTAATTTTTCCATTGCAGTAAGGACAGTAGAAATTGTTTATTTTAAAAAGAATCATACGTGTCTATAATAGTTTTGAATTTTGATAAGGACAGTATCAACAAGAGATATCCCAGAACTATTCTGTTATACTTCAAATCAAGATCAAACAGCCATCATTTAATATATCTCACCCCCTACCCGTGCTCACTCACGATGTAACTTCACCTGTTGAAGAGCGAGAGCTCGAACGCTCGATCTATTTAATAAAGAAACTTATTACGCAAGTGTGAAAAAATAGTATAAATATGATATTGTACTGGGATAAGGTGCATAAATTATGAAAAAAGGCATCTCCTTATGTTGCAACTGAAATTTGTGAAGAGTGATGATAAACGGAAAAATAAAAGTGTCCAGGGATGGGAATCGAACCCACAGTGTTCCGCGGAGATGCCTTATCCACTAGGCTACCCTGGACATATTTTTCCGTTCGTAAATAGTGGACATGGCATCTTCCCGGTAAGCGGAACACTGTGGGTTCGATTCCCATCCCTGGACACATTTATTTTTCCGTTTATCATTACTCTTCACAATTCACTCTTTCATACCTCAACCAAAAGGTTAGAAATAATCGTTATTTCTCCTTGAAATAAATTTTGAATTATTTTTGAAAAGAAACACATGCGGGATAGTACATTTCAAATGTCGTTTTACAATCATAAGCCGCATTATATTATATTGTACAACAACAACAAAAGCCTTTATTGAGGACCTCTCGTCCTATAGAGGATTCGCCAGTTTACAGAGTAATTGAAGAGAACTAAGAATACAGAGAGAAATCTATAAGTAGTAGGTATAGTATAGTATTTTCTACACTGTGACTATATACAACAGCAGCAACAAGCCTTTTACTGGAATCAAAGTCCCATACAGGATTCGTCATTCTAATCCTGACAAATATTATTTACATATGATTATTTACATCAATTAGATTATGTATATAGCCTCCCTTTCTCTTCAGCCGTCTTCCAAAATTTCAACAACGCAAACGCTCCAGCTCTGTTTCTCACCACCTCATTCAACAGGAGCTCCAAAGAGATTCCCTCAAGGCCTATTTCACTGAGGAGTACTTCTCGTTCGTCTTTCAGCCCCATACATGAGAGTATATGGTGATGTAGCCCCGGCTCCATTATTATATATTGTATTATAAATGTTATTTCATATATATTACTGGTGTCCCTGTATTACTGATTAGTAGTAGAATAGTTTAAGAAAACTGAGTTTTTAAGAACAAATAAAAATTGTTGAAGAAGTAATAAATGTGTAAAGGAAGCATAGTGCTATAATGATTTGAATTCTAACGTATGGATGACTCGTTATCACCTTATAATTAATTTATACCTAACTGGCCTTGTCCTTATTGTTTACGGAAGAGTATTGCTCGATGTAAATATTTATAGGTAATTCTACTGTCCTAAAAGAGCTTATGTCCAATGGTATTTTTAAGTACAATTTCTGGGATTAAACCTTTCAGTGTAGTATATATAAGCAGAATGATCCAATACAGTATTAGAGTTCTAAAGAGGTGGTTTGGTAGATTAAATTGATGAAACCGCTGGGAGGGTTCACCACTGATGAGCCAAGCCTTCCCATTAATTTTTCCATTGCAGTAAGGGCAGTAGAAATTGTTTAATTTTTAAAAGAATCATACACGTCTATAATAGTTTCGAATTTTCATAATAGATAGCGCGCTAATGTATCATAATATATTGTTTATATTCCAATTGATAAAAATACATATATTTACAATGATTATTAATGTGATAGGCAAGAAAAATAAAGTATTACATAGTTAATACATCTCTCCCTTTAAAATTCCATTAAAAATATAAATAAGTATAAAGAGAATTTTATACTATTAAAATGAATATAATTAGACAAATTACCTATTTATGTTTATCTAGAATCCGTATGAATCTTGGCTTTTTCAGTTTTGCTATTAAAACTTTATCTTATGAGGAAGCACAATTTTCCAAAAAAATGCCGACAACGCTTTTCTTTCATGTTCTGGTATTCAGGAATTTGTTTAAAAGAATAGCTATTATATAACACAATATAAAATAAAACATAGCTTTATAAAAAAGGTAATTAAAATATCCACATATTTCAATCCAAAAGAATTTACCTAATTGCATAAAATATTATGCAAATCTAATAAGAAAAATTGCACTTTTTTTAAAACCGCTCTATAACTAAAAATAATTATAATTAAAACGCAGCCGATAAAGACTATCAGAAAACAATGAAAAATATATTGAAATAATATATAAAGTTAATCTAGATGCGAATAAAATTATTTCTAAAACCAAAACTATTAGCTAATAAAAATAAACTTCAAAAGTTGTTCTGTTATATATATTGGACTTAATTTAATTACAATTATTCTTTATCTAACAAATTTTATTGCACAAATATAGAATAAAAAAGACTAAAATGATTCGGAATTCATATCTAGTTTATATATATATTCTTAAAACACAATCATATATGCAAATATAATTCTATTTGCATATATAATTACTTGAAACCATCTAGAAGGAGAGAATTCTGTTTATAATATAAAAATATATATATAAAAAAAAAGAGATGACGCAATTAAAAATATTATAAATTAAATTCTTAGAAAATAATTAAATGCTTTTTAAGGAAGTAATTTAAAAGTGGGAAAGAAAAAAATAATTAATTAAGACAAAAGATTGGAAGAATGTGAAGTTGTTTTTTGAGAATAGGAGGGAAAAAAGTAAAATTTTTAAATTCTTAAGTCATTTTAAAACCACTTCCAACCAAATGGTAATTTGGGAAGTGTGATGATGATAATTTATTCATAGAAATCTTCCTTGTTACATATTGTCACATCAGAGTTACAAACCTGAAATATTCATACCTTTAGAAATATTGAAATCTCTGGAATGTAAACAATAATAGAAAACAGCTTCTCCAAGGATATGTTTCTTGCTGTATTTACATATTTTCTCATCTTGCTGTATTTACATATTCTCTCATCTTGCTGTATTTACATATTCTCTCATCTTGCTGTATTTACATATTTTCTCATCTTGCTGTATTTACATATTCTCTCATCTTGCTGTATTTACATATTTTCTCATCTTGCTGTATTTACATATTCTCTCATCTTGCTGTATTTACATATTCTCTCATCTTGCTGTATTTACATATTCTCTCAGGCTTTCGGGTATTATAAACCTTTCTCAGGAGTGTTTGACAAACATATTGAAGATTAAGATTCATTTTGTCATATATTCCTGTAGAAAGGTTTATAATACCCGAAAGCTTTAAAGAATATGTAAATAAAGTAAAAACGTATTCTCTCTTAAATGCCGTTTTTAAAATTTATTTATATCTTTTTATTTATTTATTTATTTCAATTTAAAGCGCTCTATGTCACCCTAGGGACACTTACGCTGTCATACATGTATGCCTTTATATTGTCTATACATATTTTTCCAATAATTTTAGGCCGTAAAGAATAGTCAGGGCTCTGGTACATTTGTAAGTGCAAAGTCGAACTGCTTTTCACATGTGTAGACATGTGGTGCGCTTACAGTAAAAAGCAGTCGCTAACTACCCACCATGATTATCATGGCCTGTACCACGTGTATTAGGGATAAGCAAAAAAAATTATTTCAATGTCCTCCTAAGGACACTTGCGCTGTCATACATGTATGCCTTTACATTTGTCTATACATATATATACAATAATTTTAGGCCGTGAATAGAATAGTCCTATGATGTTAACAATGAAAAAGAGAGACAAAAAAAACGATAACAGAGAACTGTGTACAAAAGAAGTGTCTGGCAATATGTACAATAAGCATAATATAAATTATCAGCTTCTTAAAAGATATTTGTTGCTATATAATTTAAAATATATATACAAAAGGTATTGAATTTAATATACATTTCTTTACTGGAAATAAATATAGTTGGATCTGATACTATTAAATTATTGTCGATTCTATAGTCTTAAGAAACAGGACATTCTAGTAAAAATGTATTAAAGTTTGTTCCTCATGTTTACCCAAACAACTCGAGTCTTCCACTGCTTTAATTCTTTTAAAAAGGTATCTTGTTTCTTAACCCAAATATCTTGGACATGTGTTGATAATCAGGATAGTTGAAATTGGTTTAAATTGCATATGTGTATTTGAAACTTTGTTTTTGAGCATATCATGATAATATTCTATCTTTTTAGACTAAAGGGGCTTCCTCTAATAGCTCCATTCGACACTAAATCCACTATAAACACCTAAAACACCGATTTATGACTGTGTTGAAAACCTTTTGCTTTCTAATCTTCCATTTCAGAAAAGATAATTCTGGCTTTAATGATTGATCAACCATTTAAAATATGTCTAAGAACTGGAAATTTTAAAGAATGAATGTTTCTTTTTAAATATAAAACGAACTTCTACTGTTCCTTACTGCGATGGAAAAATTCAAATGAGGGCCTGGCTCATCAGTGGTAAACCCTTCCACCGGTTTCACCAATTTAATCTACCAAACCGCTTCTTAGCTCTAATATTGTATTGAATGATTCTGCTTATACAGAGTGATCCAAAAGTCTTGCAGAACTTTAAAAATCAATGTAGACATCAACATTTCTATAACTACATTGTAAGATTATAAACTCAAAAGGAGCTTCTTCTATAGAACATGTTTGTTTCGCTAGCTGTCAAACGATGTCGTTCTTCAACGGGCGTAAAGACGTTTAAAAATCGTCATCCAATTCTTCTACTTTTGGCGAAATGGCGTTTTATTAATTTATCATTTGATATTATTAAGGTTCTTTCCTGGTATTCCAAAAAGAAAAATACATGTCGATAGGTTATATTTTTCAATTTATCAAACAATTTGGCCGCTGAATCTCTGACTCTGGTAGAGCGCCATCTAGCGAATAAAATAATAACTAAAATCAATTTCGAAATATTCATTATTTGCCATAGATATTTCCATTGCATCCTGCACATAATGGTGTTTACCGCATTGCTCTAGCGCAAATATTCGCGGAGTTATTAATTTTTAAATTTATGCGGGACTTTTGGATCACCTTGTATATGCTGCACTGAAGGGTGGAATCTTTGAAATGGTTTTCAAGTAAACTATGGATATAAGCTTTTAGGACAGTAGAATTACATATATAGATTTGAACTCTCTACTTACGCAGCTAAAATTCCCCATTACAGACATCTAGCAATAGATTCCTATAATACACAGAGGTAAACACCTTATATCAATAAATGACGTATAAAATAGAACCCTGATATAGAATAGCATTTTATTTTAATGCAAAAGGATCACAAAATATATTTAAAGTCAACAAGAAAAGTGTAAAATATCGAGAATCAAATCCATAAACTCATATTCAATATTGTACTTCGTTGCGCAAAGCAACCACT